AAAAAAAAAAAGAAACTTACTGTGTGGAAATATCTTTGTGGTGTGTGTGCATGCATATTTCATTTAAAAGCTTTTAAAAAATAGAATCAATTAATTCTAAGCAGACAGTGATGTCCAGGCTACACCCACAAGGATAACTATCTTGTAAACTGTCATTTATATATTATAGGGAGAGTGTGTCTTACAAAATACTGTAAAATCGGGTATGAGGCCAGTCATAACTCTGAATGTCATATGAGAACACGTATGAGAGGGGAAATAGAAGTGTAACTTGTTCTTAGCGTGGGATGTAGTATTTTTTTTAACCAAGTAGTAAAGCTAGAGTGAAGGAAAAAGTCTTTCTTCTGTAACAACTGTACATTAAAAACTGAAGTTCTGTTTCATTGTTATTTTTAAGATGGCGCAGTGGCTCAACCACAACTTCCTGCTACCTGAAGACACTAACATTCAGAATGCTCCATTTCAAGCGTGCTTCACCTCTTTGCGGAATGGTGGTCACCTTTGCATAAAGATAAAATCTAGTGGAGAGGTAATGCTGAATGTCGCGGGGCAGGCAGGGGATGTAGCTCCGGGGAGAGCACTTGCCTAGTGTGTGTGTGAGGCCTTGTTCCATCCCCAGGAGTAGAGAAAAAAAGGAAAGGAAAACAGTGTCACCATCGCGGGGTAGCCTCAGTTTTCTCAGGCAGTTTAACCATTCAGTGTAAAGTCAGGTGAGTGCCGTCAGCGTTAAGACCTTAAAAGCGGGGCTGGTGAGATGGCTCAGTGGTCTAAGGCACCTACTTGGAACAAGCTTAGCAAGGCGCAGGGACCATCGTTCAATCCCCCAGCACCACCTGCCAGCCATCCCTGCCCCCTGGTGGGCTGAGCTGGTCACACACACACACACAAATAAATTAAAAAAGTAAAAAAACATTTTCAAAAAAAAAAACAAAAACCTTAAAAGCTGTCCTTGCAGCTTTGTCTGTTAAGTGTTACTGTACGTATCGAGTATAATCTGTAAGTGTGGTTTTCTGCCTTTCACCTTCCTTTTACTCTTCACTATAATTTAGCAAAAGGAAGATCACTGAGGTGCATAAAAACATTTTCGTCATTTGAATAGTTTTGTCACTTAGTTCAGAAGGCTCATGGATGACCTGTTTGCTGTGTGCAGTAAATAATGAATGTGGTTTGGAGTTTCCTGAAGGGCTCAGTTTTACCTCACTCATCACTATATATGTTCAGTAATTGTTAACTGTGTAGAAATTCAGGTTCTGTCTTGGTTGATTTTATTTTATATCTGAGAATGCTAAACTTTCCTGTTTTTTCTTGGACAGATTACTATAAATACTGATGATATTGACTTGGCTGGTGATATCATCCAGTCGATGGCGTCATTCTTTGCTATTGAAGACCTTCAAGTAGAAGCAGATTTTCCTATCTACTTTGAGGAGTTACGAAAGGTGCTAATCAAGGTGAGGCACCTACTTGGTACATTTGTGAACTCATGGTAGTCTCAGTGGTGTGGGGTATTTATTTTAGGAGATGAATGAGCTCTGGGAAGCTGAGGCAGGAGGATCACAAGTTCAGTGTGGTCAGCTTGGTGATTCACTGAGCCCTTGCCTGAGAAAAAAGGACTAGAATTATAGCTCAGTATACTGAAGCCCTGGGTTTGGTTCCTAGTACCACTCCCCCATACACACACAAGGAGATGAATGTACTCATATTCTAAAGAATTGGACTACTATTAGAACGATTTTTGTTTGGCTGGCTCAGGCTGCCTTAAAGGCAGGTCTGGTAATACAGATGGAGGTGGGGATCAAACCATGATATCCTGTTTCTTAAACTAGTATTAGAGAGTTCACTTTTTTTGTTGTTTTCACAGGTTCTCACTGTGCAGCTCACACAGGCCTTGAGCTCACTTTGTAACCTATGCTGGTCCTGAACTCACAACCATGCTGTTGTCTCAGCCTCCTGGGTGCTGGGATTACAGGCGTGTGCCACCATGCTCTGCTAGGGGAACACTTTTAAAATATATGGCATATTAATATCCTCCTTTGCTAGGGCTTCATCCTGTTATATCTACTTTGATCTTCCATTTATAGCTTTCCAAAAACCAAAATTAAAAATTACAAAAAGCAAAATAAGCAGGATTGATTCACAAATCTAACACCATTCTTAATCCAGATCAGTTTTTTTTTTTTTTTTGAGATAGAGTCTTACAGGGTTCAGGATGTGCAGTTCACACTGGCCTCAGACTCAAGATTGTCCCCTCACCTCAGCCTCCCAAGTGCTGGGATTACACATGTGCCACCACACCATTTTAAACCCTGATCTTTAAGATGTTAGTATATATGTTTGTGGGACTTGCAATGTTAAGGCGTGGGAAAGACCCCCATGGAGTGCCATCCTTGGAGGCGGCATAGGCTGTGTTGAGAAGAGATAAAATAAGAGCATTATAGCATCTGCCTGGCAAGCACAAAGTAGTAAATTCAATCCCTGGTACCATCCAAAAAAAAAAAAAAAAAGCCTTAGTATTCCTGGTGGTCTAAGTGAACAGGGCAAAGAAACTTCTGTCTCTGGTAGAGAGTATCTTAGTCTAGTTTTGAAGAATTTTGTGAAGAAAAATTTTTTTCATTCCTGAGTGTTTCTCTCCAGGTGGATGAATATCATTCAGTGCATCAGAAGCTCAGTGCTGACATGGCTGATAATTCTAATTTGATCCGAAGTTTGTTGGTCCGAGCTGAGGATGCTCGTCTGATGAGAGACATGTGAGTAGAACTCTCAGGAATCTAAATTGGTACCATGACTTTGGAGAAATAACATGGCATCATCAGTAGAGTTGAGGATGTGTACATGCTGTGACCCAGCAGTTCTGCTCCTAACGAGCACATATAGTTTAGAGAAACTTGTGCACTTACCTGTAAAGCAGGGTATTTAAATAAGAGTCTCTTAAAGGAGCCAGGAATGTAACTCGGCGCTTCACCAGCACACATGAGGCTCGGAGTTTAATACCCTTTACTGGGACCAGGGGTTTAGCTCACCAGTGCCTTGCCTGCCTGGCGAGTGCAAGGTCCTGAGCTCGATTTTCAATACCAAAAAGAAAGAAAAAAACCAGTACTAAAAAATAAAATATTCTTAAAGGCATCGCTTATAAGAATTTGGTATTTGTTTTCCATCAGAACAATAAAATACCTGAGCTGGGGTACTAAATAAGGAAAGTAGGTTTATCACAGTTTTAGGGGCTTGAAGGTTCAAGTAGCATGGCACTAGCTCTGATGCAGCTCCTTGGTGAAATCACCTAAGGGCTGATGGCATCATTGCAGGCACATGTGCAAGAGTGAGGGATTCCATGGCAAGACAGGAAGCCAAGCGACTAGGGAGCCAGTGTTATTCTTTTATAACAGTCCTCTTGAGAGGACAGACCAGGGTGCCATAAGAAGTGCCTTAAGTCATTTTGAGGGCAGGGCCTCTAGGGGCCATGCATGACCTTGTATTAGGGTCCTACCTGTTCAAGGTCCTACTATCTTTTCACATGGTCACATTAGGACCAAACTTCCAACATATAAACCTTTGTGGTAGGAGGATGTTTAAACTGTATCTAAATCATAGCAAATCCCAAAGTGGAAATGACCCAAGCTAATATGCCAGTGCAATGGGAAAATACAATATATTTGCCCAGTAGAGCAACAACTGTAT